GGAGAAAGCCTAGTATGCTCCCTTGACCAGCTGGACACGTGGACAAAGAATGGACTGTGCTCCTTTTACTGTCCAGTGTGTCATTTTTCCTTTTCCTATAGGGATGACAGGTGCCTTTCTAGCCCAGCAAACCAGTTACAGGAGCGGCGAGTCATTTCCAACTTTGAACTTGTCAATCTCCCTCCCTCTCACTCTCATTCCTGCTGGATAAGTAATTATTTTCCAACCCCAAGCCCATTTTCCAGGGAAAATTCAGGCGCAGAGAAGCCAGCATCTTGAGTGCATAAGCTATGGGGTTCCAGCATCAGTGGGGTCTCTGAGTGGGGCAGTGGCTAAGTTCCTGTGGGTGAATGCTAGGGCAACTTCCACTCCCTCTTCCCTTGCCAGGCCCCCAGAGGTATAGTGCACCTATATTTTTGAGCACCTGCTGTGTGTCTGCAATTCTCTTCTCCACCCTGTCCTGCTGAACACACTTACTCATCTTTCAAGACTCAACCTCACCTGCTCCATGAAGCGTTTCTGATTCACCAGGCAGGATGCCTGCCGCAGAAGCAACACACATTCTCTTTGGAAGAACTCACCTTCAATCCAGGCTGACAAAAATTGCAGCAAAGCCTTTTTTGTGAGTTGATTTTAGAGACAGGGTCTCACTATGTTGCCCGGGCTGGTCTCAAACTCCTGAACTCAAGCGATCCTCCCACCTCAGCTTCCCAAAGAGCTGGGACTGCTGGGGTGTGCCACTGTGCCCAGCTTCAAAGTTATTGATTTATAACATGAATCCTGACTTTAGATATAGTAAATTTTTTTTTTTTCAAAGAGTCTTACATCAGATAAGGGATCTAGCTGTCCTTAGGTCCTGGGGATAACGGAGAGTAGAGTCTCCTGGCCCTCGCCCTGCTCTCAGACCAGTAGGGAGCATACTCAGGAATGCCCTTGGAGATCAAGAAGTAAGACTTTTGCAACACTTTCCTGTTGACTCCACACTCCAAACAGCTTCAATTTTGTCTTTCAGGCATTTTCTGAGATGGGGAGGAGGTGTGCATGCAGGGGTGCTTGTCAGCCAGAAAACTGGCACCTCTTGCGTATGATGTGTGCCTCACTAGCACTCACACATCACTCCATATGAGAAGTCTCCTTCCCCTGAGTGAGGGCTAAAAGTTGAAAGCTTAATTGTCCATCAGGGGGCCTGGCTAAGTAAAAAGCAGCATATTTATATGATGACATATATGGAGTAGTTGAAAGGAATGCACTTCCTTATCAATGTGGATACAGCTAAAAAAAATTGGTGTAAAAACCAAGTTGCTGAATAACTGGTACAGAATGATTGCATTTTTAAAAGGTACATTGAAACCTCACTTTTTTTTCCCCAGTGGGTACATTTATATGTATGCAAAAATATTTTTTATAAATCTGAAAGGACAGTGCAGAGTGAGACCATACCTCATTTGTCTCTGTTTGATCAGGGATCAGCGCAGAGCCCAAGGCAGCATAGTAGGTGCTTCAAAAATGTTTGCCACATGGATGGCAGCACTGGGAAGCTGCTGAGGACTTATGGAGTGATGGACCCAGAGTTATTAGGGGCCTCGAGGGGATTCCTCCTATACTGGCTCCCTCCCCATCCCATCTACCACCACCTTCCACTAAACCCAGAACCCACAGCTTCATTCTGGCTGTGGCATCCCCGGGTCTGTCCACTCACTCCTCAGCTTCAGATTCAGCCCTAGCCCTGTTCCTCTATTTTCCTGGGGATTGGCCCCACTGTGTGTCAGTGTGTGTGTGCTGGGGGAGCTGGCTGCTTCTTAGAAACTGGGACTGGAATGAAGAAAGCAAGCCGATTTTGGCCCAGGCCATTAACTAAACTATTGTACTGTAGTCTTGAATCACATGCTTCCAAATGAGGGGGAGCATTGGGTGGGAATTTGTGAGCCTGATGGCGAATGTACTGGGTAAGGAAATGAACAAATGTTCTAGAAAGGTGCCTGGCCTGGTGGGGAGGCCTGCCAGCTTTCTGAGCCTGTAAATCCTTCTCCTTTCAGCTCAGGCTGCTGTAACAGATGATCATGGACTGATGTGGCTTAAACCACAGTTATTTCTCACAGTTCTGGAGAGGGTGGGAAGCTCAAGATCAAGGTGCCAGTTTGTGGTGACGGCCTTCTTTCTGGCTTGCTAACCTCCATTTTCTTGCTATGTTCTCACACAGCTGGGAGGGAGAGCTCTGGTCTCTCTTCCTCTTCTTACAAGGATGCTAATTCCATTATGGGGCCCCACTTCATGACCTCATCTAAACCAAATCACCTCCCTAAATCCCATCCTCCAAATACCATCACATTGCATGTTAGGGCTTGAACATATGAATCTGGGGAGGACCCACACATTTAGTCAGGAACAGTGCCATTTGTAAAAGAAAAGCTTCAAAAGCAGGGTGTTTGTCTTTGGCATGCTTTAATTGAGATTTCAGGGTAAATGGTGAATATCGGAGGTTCTGGATGAAGCTTTTGACAAAGGCAGAAGAGGTAGAGAATGCAGGGAACTGGTAGGAGGGAAGAGGCCTACTCTACATCATTATGGCTGGCTCCAAAGCACAGGCTTCATTCAGGCAGGCACACATGCATTTAACATGTTTTAAGGGGGTAGGCCCTGGCTAGCACTGGACAAGTGCTAGGGACCCAGAGCTGAAATGGTGCTTGCCCTCCTGGAGCTTACTGTGCAGGAGGCAGGTCTCAATGGAAAGCTGCAAACTTTTACCTGACTTCCAGGTTTGCATGTGCTGTTTTGTCTAGGACACCCTGCATTCCTTTTGTCCTGTTCCCCCAACTGCTCCTGCCCATCTGGCAGGTCTGAGTAGGTGGGGCTATTTTGGGGAAGTTTGTTCAAGTCTGGATTCTGAGACAGGATGGCTCCCAGAACATGGCACCTCTTGTCTCTCAAGGCTTGCCATTCCAAGGCTGCCCCTCTTGTTTGGCTGTCTTCCCCATGATACCTAAGCTCCCTGAGAACAAAACTGTGAACTGCCATATGCTAGGTACCCACTGTGGCCTGCGTCCTGTGGGGAGAGGGTGCAGTCAGTGAGTGAGTGAATAAATGAATTATACACTGTAGCGAATGACTGGTCCTTGAACATGAGGGGTATCTAAGCAGATGTGTAAATATTCTGATTGGAAACAAGTGCTAAAGGTTTGAGAAACGATAGAAAAAGCAACTGCAATGGCAAACATACCCACCCGCCTGCTCGAGACTAACAGCCAACTATTTCTTAATCCATAGCCGCCAGAGGAACATGCCTCAGTCTTACTGGGTTTCTGAGATTTGCAACCTCCAAAGCTGGGTTCTAACCAGAGAGGTTTAAAAGTCAAAAGTGCTGGATTGTTCAGTCACCTAGTATAAGTAACATAACATTTCTTTCTTTCTCTCTCTTTTTGGAGAAGGTCTCATTCTGTTGCCTAGGCTGGAGTGCAGTGGCATAATCAGGGCTCACTGAAGCCTCAACCTCCTGGGCTCAAGCTATCCTCTCACCTCAGCTCCCCACCTCTTCCACCCCACCCCCACCCCACTGGCCCTGCACCTTGGTAGCTGGCCTTACAGGCACAGGCCACCACACCCAGCTAATTTTTTTAAATATTTTTACTAGAGACGGTATTGCCATGTGGCCCAGGCTGGTCTTGAACTTCTGGACTCAAAAGATCCACAGGCATTGGCCTCTGAAAATGCTGGGAATACAGCTGTGGGCCACTGCACTCAGCTCATACCATTTCTGTGCCTCAGTTTCCTCACTTGTGAAACAGGAATAAGAGTAGTTGATGAGGGTTGCCTTAAGGATTAAATGAGAGGGGTCTTGTAAAGTCTGAGGGATGGTGAATGCATAAGTGCTTAATAATGTTGGCTTTAACTACAGGGCCTCTCACCTCCAGCGGCTCTGCTCTGTCATTCTCTAAACCTCAGCTGGCCCATCTGTAAGATGGGAGTGCCAATGGTAATGAAGGAGAAAGTAAAACTGCGCTGGGGGCCGGGCGCGGTGGCTCAAGCCTGTAATCCCAGCACTTTGGGGGGCCGAGGCGGGTGGATCACGAGGTCAACAGATCGAGACCATCTTGGTCAACATGGTGAAACCCCGTCTCTACTAAAATTACAAAAAATTAGCTGGGCACGGTGGCGCGTGCCTGTAATTCCAGCTGCTCGGGAGGCTGAGGCAGGAGAATTGCCTGAACCCAGGAGGCGGAGATTGCGGTGAGCCTAGATCTCGCCATTGCACTCCAGCCTGGGTAACAAGAGCAAAACTCCGTCTCAAAAACAAAACAAAACAAAACAAAAAAAAACTGCGCTGGGGTCTGTTGTTTGTGTCCAAGGGAGCCTGTGACGCTATGCTTTCTATCCAGGCTCACCAGGCTGGGGATTCCGGGTCCTGGCCATCCAAAGCGATCTGCTCAGTGCCCTGGTGGCTAGGACCGCCACCTCCAGCCTGGGGACTTCAGGCCACAACGCCTAACCCAAGCCCCAGAACGTTTTTTCTCACGCGAGCAGGCTGCTGTGTGGGTTCGTCTGACTGATCTGGGAGGCCTGATCATTCTCCCAGGAGATGACCCGGGAAGGCCATAGAGGGGTCCCCATAGTAGGACTGCAATCTGGTTATTCCAGGAAAAAGAAATAGAAAATGTTGCAGAGGCGGCGGCCACTGGGCTGGGAGTGGGTTATCTCTGGGCCACCTTCCGGCTCTGATAACTGCAGGCTGGTCTCTCCGGGTGGAGCAGGCGCCCCCGAAGTGGCCCAGGACGCCGGGCCGGTTGCCTCTGCCTTGCCCTGCCCCTCCCGCCACGGTCGGCGCCGGGGATCCAGGCCGCGCCCATACCCACGAAGAAGGGGCGCGGTGCCTGCCAGCCCAAGCTCGCTGCGCGCCCTCCGCCCGGACAAGGTGGGCGAGGGCCAGTGTGGCAGCCGCTAGACCCTGAGACCTGCCCGTGCCCACTCCTGCTCCCCCCGTACCCCAGGCGTGCCCCGGGGCTTACTCTGCAGACAGCGGGCTGCGGCCAGGCAGAGGGCGAAGAGTCCTAGGGAGATGCCTCGGGTCTTCCTCCTCCCGCTCGGCAGAGGCCTCATGGGGGAACCGGGAGCGGCGCGGGCAGGGCATGGGCCTCTCGGGCTGCGCGGTGCGGGCCACGCGGGGTGTGCGCTCGCCGCACCACCGCTGCAGCTCCGGTGCCGCCTTCTCTCTTCCTCCGCCTCTGGCTCCCGCAGGTTCTTCTCTAGGGCCAGATGCAGATGAGCTGGCTGTACTCTGGTTGAACCAGTTCCCAAGGACAGAGAAGGGGAGGGGGGATTGCGGGGAGAGAATTAATATGGGAAGGAATGGGAATGCACAGACTCAGAAGTAAATAATGGCAAATAGTCAGCAGCCTCCTTCCGTTCACACCCATTTTACTGGTATTGATTCAAGGTTCAGCTGGATGCTAGGTGGCAGGAAGGAGGGAAAGTTCTAGCTATTGCTTCAGGACAGAGAGGGGTCGTCTAGTCATTAGCATCGTGGGCAAAGGGAAGGCTTTTAGGAAAGTGAAATGACAGCCTGGAGTGAGAGGGATGAGAGGAGGGGGCAGGGAGACTCAGGCTGTCCTGAAGGGAACCACTGCACAGTGATGATACCCATCCATCTATCCACTCATCTGTACATCCATCCATCCAGGAAGTGTTCACCAATCGTCTGCTTATTTGCACAGGGCCTCACACATGGCAGTCACTCAAAGAAACCTATGGAATGAAGCTAGGCGCTGTGCTAAGTGCTGGGGATACAAGGATGTGGGCACCTCTTTAGAAATCCTAGCAAGAAGTGGGGGTTGCAAAAAATGAGCAATCGCTGTGCAGTGCATATGTCGCTAAGATCAGAGAGGCCCAGTGTGCTCTGGGTGCTCAGAGCAAGTGTGATTAGCCCCTGGGAGAGGTTGATGGAGGGGCAGGGCAATCCGTTTTGGTCCAAACTAGTCATGAAATTCTATTTCACTTTGTCAAAACTAGAGTTCCTAGCCTCACTTGCTGCAAGGGGTAGCAGTGTGACCCAGTGCTGGCCAGTGATATTTAAGGGGAAGTCTTTTTGAGGTGTTTCTGGAAAAGTTTTTGCTTTCCTCATAAAAAAAAAAGACAACTAAGGCTGGGACTGCCTCTCCCCTTTCTTTCTGCCTTGAAAACATTTATTCTGTTTAGATCTGTGGCACGTATCTTGCATCCATTGAGCTACGTAAATGAATGCAAAAACCATCTGGCTAAGTCAGGATGGTGGAGCAGAAAGATAAAAAGACCTAGAAAGGCCGGGCATGGTGGCTCACACCTGTGATCCCAGCACTATGGGAGGCCGAGGCAGGTGGATTGAATGACCCCAGGAGTTTGAGGCTAGCCTGGACAACATAGTGAGACACCATCTCTACAAAAAATACAAAAATTAGCCTTGGTGTTTTAGCCCATGTCTGTAGTCCTAGCTACTCCAGGGGCTGACATAGGAAGATCACTTGAGCCTGGGAGGCAGAGGTTACAGTGAGCTGTGATTGTGACACTGTACTCCAGCCTGGGTGACAGAATGAGACCCTGTTTGAAAGAAAGAAAGAAAGAGAAGAGAAGAGAAGACATAAAAGACTGTTGTAATCCACTGTACTTTTCCATCTCCTTCTGGTTTCTAAAGGTGACTTCTTACCAATTCCATGTGTTCCTGGTGAGGCTGATAACAGTGGTACCCTAGTGACTGGCTTGGGGTGGGCTTATCAACCATGCTGACCATTTGAAGTATCCTCTCTGCTAACCAAATTACTCAGCTCAAGGATGGGTCATCAAAGTCTTCTTTGGAAATGTGTGGTCACTGCTGGGATGCTAAAAATGGGATGTAAACCTGAGGGTGCTGGTGAACCATCTTGCCTGTCATGTGGAGAGGCCCTGGATTAAGAATGAAACCAAGATGAGACAAACCAAGCTGGGATCTGAGGAAAGAGATGAAGGCCTAACCACATGGATTGAGATCTGGCATTCTGCAGTTGGGTTTACCAATTATCAGCAAATAAATGCCCTCTTTTGCCTCAGCAAATTTAAGTTGCAGTTTTATGATATAAAATTGAGAACGTCCTGCTAAAACAGGTGGTCTTCTCGACATTTTTATGTTTTCTTTATTAGCTGCAAAGGGCTTCAGGAATGACTTGCATTTATTTGTTTATCCATCAAACGTTTATCAGACCTGCCCTCATATCAGGCAATGTGCTAGGCACTGCAGCTCCGTAGATGAACCATAACTCGTGACCCCATGAGTCTCAAATACTCAAACTAGTGGAGACAAAATGATTCAAGTTGAGAATGGCTTCCAGACACAGAGGTTCCTCCTGCTGAGGCTAAGTTGAGAGGAAATTGGCTGTTCTACTTACTGTTGTGAACCTCAGACAGGTCTCAATTTAGAAAGTTTATTTTTCTAGGGTTGAGGATGTGTGCCTGTGACACAGCCTCAGGAGGTGCTGACCACACGTGTTCAAGGTGGTCAGGGCGCAGTTTGGTTTTAAACATTTTAGGTAGACATGAGACATCAATCAACATATATAAGATGAACATTGGTGCTGTCAGGTAAGGCAGGACAACTTGAAGCAAAGGTGGGAAGACTCCATGCGGGTAGGGGTCTTTCAGGTCATAGGAAGCTAAGAGACAAATGGTTGCATTCTTTTGAGTTTATGTTAGCCTCTCAAAAGGAGGCAATCAGATATGCATTTATCTCAGGGCGCAGAGGGGTGGACTTGAATAGGATGGGAGGTAGGTTTGCCCCAAGCAGTTCCCAGTTTGACTTTTCCCTTTAGTTGAGTGATTTGGGGAGTCCTGAGAATTTCTTTTCCTTCACATTTACCCCCTATTCTTTTAAAACATCTTTTGGAGAAAGCATTTTACAAGAAAATGAATCTCTGGGCTCAGGTTTTATCGGATCTCTCATGGCATTGGATGGTTTATTCCTAGACAGGTAGGTACTGACTTATTAGGAGAGCTCATTATTATCAGGTTGTGAAGTCTCATGTCCTGTGAACAGAAGATAGGGTCAGGAAGGGAAAAAACAGCAAACAAATGAACAATCCTGGAAAACTGATATAGGCCACATTACTCTGAGGTCCATACATCATTAGGCAGCTATGAAAAGTGACTTATTTATGTAAATTGGTTGCTGTTATGTTCTTCTGAGGTTTAAATTGTCTAGCTTCAGTTCACAAGGTGTTAGGAAAGTACAGCTTAGTTTTCAGTGACTCAGAATTAGGAAAAATGAAAAAAAAAAAAAGGAAAGAAAACAATTAAAAATATTATTTTATAGGCTTATAGCCAAGAAAAATTAGAATTCAGTCCAAAGTGTAGAAAATAATAAAAATGGAAAAACATTAGGCAAGATTAGACTCTAACAACAGGTGTACTACAGTTTTTGAAACATATTTTTTCTCTCTTCACTTTCTCATTTTTACCATAGACAAATTGTGGTAGGACTGCTTTGCTTTATTATACTTGGCCTTATTATTTGTATACAGTGGAGCAATAATAATAATGATTATGGGCTGGGCATGGTGGCTCACGCCTGTAATCCAAGCACTTTGGAGGCCAAGGTGGGCAGATCACCTGAGGTCGGGAGTTCAAGATCAGCCTGACCAACATGGTAAAACCCCGTCTTTATAAAAATAATAATAATGATTATGGGCTGGGCATGGTGGCTCACGCCTGTAATCCAAGCACTTTGGAGGCCAAGGCGGGCAGATCACCTGAGGTCAGGAATTCAAGACCAGCCTGACCAACATGGTGAAACCCTGTCTTTATAAAAATAATAATAATGATTATGATGATGATTTTTTTGCATGGGCCTTTAAATTTGGCTTTGATGGAACTTTGTTCCATAGAAGGAATCTCAGATAACACTTTTTCAAAGCTGAGCCCAACCATATATTTTTACCATCAAATACCAGTGAATTGGGTGAAATCCTCTCCTCTTGAAGTTCAGAGATAAAACTTGGGGCTCCTGGGCCTGTCAGAAAGTGACATCCTTTATTTGCCAAAAGTCAGAAACCCTGTACCGGGGGTACTATGTAGACAAGTATGAGGCCAGTTTTCCCAAGGGCTTTCATTGCCTCCATAAGTCAAGTTTAATTCCTTAAAGGAAAGCACACCATTCTAGTCAAAGCCTTCTTTCTCTAATTGTGTCCTGTTACCAATGAAAACAGATTATTATTGCACTTATGCAAATAACTGTATTGTCCTGAGTTAATAATGCTCACAAGTAATTTCCAAATTCTGTAGAAATCAAGTAGAGAGAAAACAAATATAATCCAAATTTTGTTCATAGGACTATACTTTACTCAATTGTTAAAAGAGGTAAATAGCTTAAAAGTTTTCTTGACTCTGAAAAATAAAACAAAGGATCAGCAGTGTTTTAAGCAAAAAGTTAAAATGATTACTTTAGACTTTTATTAGTTTAGTCCATTTAGTTAATTCCTGTTCTGCTTGATATTCATGAACATTTCAGCTCTCCATGAGTCCTGAAAGTTTTCCTCTATTCTGATGTTATAATCTCCAAAGTTACCAGAAACCTGCATTCAGGATAACCCGTTAGAGTTGTATAGCAGAATATAAAACCACCTTCTAAAGAGCATCAACACAAGACAACAATTGTCTGTGGATGACAAAAAGTTTTAGGGCAGCCATAGCCAAAGACACAATTGAAAAGTAAATTTGTTACCTGTGTGGCACACAATAACATAATTATAATGATTACTGATAATGTACACTAAGTTGTATCAGAATTATAGGAGTTTTCCATAATCTTGGAACACATGCCAATAACATATTTAAACAAATACAGCCCAAAGAAAATTAGACACCATTTTAAATTTGACAATACTTCCTGTATAATTTTTATATCAAATAAGCCAAATATGTAATGTTTTAGACTTTAGAGGACCTATTAATAATATCTTAAAGGATTAATTAGGCCAGAAAAAGATATAGTTTATAATTTGATTTTGCAAAGTTTGTCAAATATGAAAGGTTTAAAACACTTGATGGTACAAAATAAGATTACAGATCATTGTAAAGTAAGTCATTCATTTAACCAAAGTGATAACTCGAGGATTTTTTTTTTAAAAAGGCAAAAACCTTCGTTCAATAAGAGATGAGACTTAATTTTCCAAACAATAAGCCCTGATGAAAACAGCATGAAGCCAATTAAATTTGTTTTTCAAAAATTTATAAGCAATCTATAAAATTTTAGTCTTGATCATAAAATATAACTTCCATAAGCATTTTATAACTTTATAACCTTTATTAAGGAGTTGGTTAATGTTCCAA